ATTATAATAAACTAATCTTCGTTCTTCATCTAAAAGTTACATTTTATTATTTTCATCTGTTTTTCCACCATTCACCTAACTGATTTCTGTTTTGTTGTATTTTATAAAAATGTCCAATTTACTGCAAGAAATCCACATTTTTTGTTTATTTGCTCAGTATTTAATACAGCTGGCAAACTAAATTGTTRAAACACATTGATCTGCTTCGTTTTTTTTAAGTCAACGTATTATATAAAATTAACCCTTCATGTTATGGAAAGACCCTCTTGATACAAGAGAAAAAATGGCCGCTTATGGACTGTACTTACTTATATAGCGCTTTTCTATCCATCCAGGACACTCAAAGCGCTTCACACTGCAGACATTCACCCATGCACACACACATTCACACACTGATTATGGCAAACTACAATTGTAGCCACAGCTGCCCTGGGGCACACTGACAGAGGTGAGGCTGCCATGCACAGGCGCCACCGGACCCTCTGACCACCATTAGTGCGCTCAAGGCGGGTAAGGTGTCTTGCCCAAGGACACAACGACTGAGTCGACTGGACGGGGGTCAAACCGGCGACCTTCTGGTTCCAGGACGATTCCCCTAACCACTCTACCACAGCCGCCCCAATTATCAATTAATCGTTAGTCGATTGATAGAAGATCAGTCAACTTTAGATTAATTTATTAATTGATAACTTGTATCCCTAAAAGAAACACAGAAATGCTCAAAAATAAGTACAATTAATATAAAATACAAACTAAAACTGTCCGCTCTAAAAGAATCTCACGCTGCCAGAATCCAAAACCAATGAGTAAAGATGGGTGTAGATAAACAGCAGAAATAAAAGTCTTGACGGTTTCGGTTTCAGACATGGTGAGGTTCTGACATTTACCTGTTTGTGGAGAAGGCCAGGTTGTTAACTCTGCGGCTGTGGACCGTCTTCACTCTGGCCGGTTCAGTTCCCAGAAAGTCTTTAACGGTCACTCTGCCCAGCTCGTCGCCTGAAACAAAATGATTGTGTTAAACTGTGAATCTCGTCATTAATCTGCTGTGGGACCTTACCAAAAGCGATGGTGCTTCTGTGGTGGGGGTGCCAAGCAACAGCGGTAGCTGAGCAATTCGGGGACTCAACATCTGTATTAAAAAAAATAAGATGCATCATGACAGTGGTTRCAGTTTTGTAAGATTTTATAACAAGACAGCCGAACAGACGGACAGAATCTGTGATCAATGAATGATTTATTCCTCTTCATTCAAGTAAATATATCTGTACTCRTGTTTCTTTGGCTTCTCAATATAAAATGCTTTCACTCAGCTGTTCAAGCTGGAACAACAGACCACAGAAAGCTGCTCACCGATTTTTGAGGCTGGTTTGTTTGGCTTCCTCCTGTCCCACATCAACACTCGGCCGTCCTGAGAATCAGAGATGACATCAGAAACATTATCAAACATTAAACCTGACYCTTTCCTTTAATACATAAAACCCAACACGGTCTGCTTGATTATATTTGCTCAAGGCAAAGGTACACTTTAATTTTAATCATTTCTATCAATTCAATTTTAGCACTTTACAGTCTTTCTTTTTTATTTCTTTTAAAGTGTTTAAAATAACAATCCCAACACTCCTAAATTGTTGTTCATCTAAAAGAACTCACAATTTACCACTTATTTTTGGCCATTGGAAACATTGAAATAACTACTTTATATTGGTGGCTGTTTGTCCACATACAACAAATTATAACAGGAACATAAAAAGGTAGCTAAAATCAAAAAGAACTTAATAAAAATAAGGTAAAATAAGAGGTCCTGTAATTTTAATCCACAAAAATGAAAAGTACTATTTCACGACATTGACAACAATCAATACACATACTTGACCACAGGAGATGAAGAGAGACTCATCAGTAGGGCTGCAGGCAACACTATTAACAGGCTGTGTGTGAACTGTAAACACAAAACAATGAAAAGGCATAGTGTTTATGGGACACACAGTCTAAAAAATAWAACCTAAGTTTGAACTAGCTGCTGGGTTTATCCTTACTGGTGTGAAACAYTTACAGGTATAATACTTGGACACAAATAAAATGTAACAAATTCTCTGAAAATAATAATATAAAAACATGACAATTATATTAAATTTCAGATATCTGCTAGCATAATTTTGAGATGCTTGTGTAACAGTAAGAACATAAAATACACATTTTTGATTGATTAATTCAGAAAATACGTCTAAAATTATTAACAAGGAGAGCACTATTTTTTAGTGCCGGACAATGTTTGCTTTGATTTACAATTAAGCAATATTATTTCTCCACTTGTGATTAGTAAGACATAGGCTTGGGCAATATTGGCAAAAAAATTAATCACGATTAATTGTGGCATTTAGCCGATAACGATTAATTTGATGATTAATCCCCTGGAGTCCATGGACACCCTTATKTCMTAGTCACATGACCAATTTAGTGGGAAAGATTTGATCTATGTAAAAAAATTGTTCCAAATTGTGTGAAAATTACAGATTTCAGGCTATACATCATATTTTAAATTGTGTTGACAGATAAATAAATTACAGAATTTTATTTTTAACGTTCATCATATTTGAAGCAGAGAGGAACACCGAGCGGACTGACCGGAGTAATCCCCAGTCAGTCTGTCTGGTGATATTAATCGTATTAATTGTCAAATGCCAAAAAGTAATTGATTAATGTTTTTCTGACGATTAATTGCACACGATACAATTATGCCCAACCCTAGTAAGAGACAAAAAATAAAAACCCAGCTTTAGACAAATTAATTTAATAAAACTAAAACATGACTTATATAATTTTTTGTTTCTTGAAAAGACTGTAGAAGTTCTCTTACCGTTGTAGGTTGTGACAACAGTTTCCTGACTGAGATCCCAGACTTTAATTCTGTGTGAAAGATAGAAACGCTATTAACAGGGTTGCACATAAAATATTTGGTSTGGTTCTCAGGGGAGAACCTGGGGTTGTTGCTTTGTGCTCATATTTTCCTTAACTCATTTAACACTTTTATCTAGAGGGGTGTCAGAGCATTTATTATTACCCTGTTCTGTTTTATGACACCTTCTATCAGCTGGCAATGTCTCGAGACATCATGCCAAATCAGTCCACTGAGTTTTTTATTTTTTATTTTTACTCTGCATACATTTTGTAAACTACATAAATGGCCATTGGGCTGGCCCACGGGGATATGTCATCTCAAATTGAACATTTCATGTTTAAATGTCTGTTAGATTACACATGACCCTGAGATGTACAGCTCCTGTAGTTTGGCCTTCTAGATCTTTGGCCTTGTTTAAACCAGCTCTCCACACTCTCCAGTCCAAGCAGCAAATATCTGTGTTTTGCACAGAACAAATGTTTTATTTGTTAGGATGGTTCCTTTTTTTAAAAGACTATTTAATTCAAAAAGATTATATTTAGATGGTTTCAGCTCATGTAATCATTTAAAATGATTTATTCTTWGTATTTTATCATTTATTGAACTATATTTATCTCAGAGCAGCTGTGTCACAGTATGATTCTAAATATAAACAAATTTAGCACGTCAAGAACCTTGTTGTTATAAGATTGTAAAGAACGAAATTTGTGGATCTTTCTAATGAATTAAAATAACATTTAAAACTCATTCACCTAGAGAACACGGCAAGTTTTTGTTTTAATTTTTTTGGATGGGGGGTGTTAAACAGAGACTCATCTTTGCTTTGATTATGGGCAAATAAATGGGATAGTCAATTACGGTCCTCGAGGTCCACAGCCCTGCATGTTTWACTTTTTTCWCTTCTCTAACACACCTGAKTCAGTCWGTGAATTCCCTCTTCCAAGTTCTGCAGAAGCCTGAAAATCATYCATTCATTCAAATCAGGTGTGTCAGAGAAGAGAAACAAGTAAAACGTGCAGAGCTGCGGACCTCGAGGACCGTAACTGACTATCCCTGGTAGAAGAACTCGAACAGTGAATCAAACGCAAAGTTGGACAGATCTGTTCGATAATAATACTCTGAACATGTATTTAATATAAAGTTAGGTTTTGGAGACCAAAGTCTCTGGTAGTTCAGGAGCAAAGTGCAGGMGATGTCAGGACTGATGGCTGCAGCCGCTGCTTCCACCATCTCTGCTGAAAACAGCTCTGTTTGAAAGTCCCGCCCTACTCTGCTCTGATTGGATAAAACGGCTCTGGGGTTCTTCTGATTCGTTGAAAGCAGTGTCCGTTTAATTCTTATACATCAGGGTCCTGCTGCCCTCCTTTCACAGCACGATGATCCAGTCACATCAGTGAGGCTGGATTTTTGTTTGTTTGTTTGTTTTTAAGAAATCAGGTTACATTTGCGACCCTGCTAGCTGTTGTTTTCACAATTTCAGGTACAATCTTAGGTACACAAGAGAGCATTATGGCATTCCATCTAGYGCGCTTTTTCTGTTTTGATCGCGCACCTGCGCACCGCTTATGTGCAACTCTGGATAGTAAAATGTGGTTGAAGTCCCTCTCACAAAATAACTTTAAAAAAAAAAAAAAAAAAAAAAAAAAAAAAAGCTAATTCTCTTCACAGATTCATGCACAGCTGTACCTAGCATCAATAAAATCTTGAATCTTGTCAGCGTGTTTCATTGGGTCATTTTTGTTTGTGAATCATGATTTTGTAAAGAGTGTGAGGGTCTAACCGGCAGTCCATGCTGCCAGTCACAACATCGCTTCCTCCAACGACAGGGCTCACTGTGGTGACCACATCGTCGTGTTCGTATCTGGTAAAACAATTCACCAACAGGTGCTCGTTCTCTGCCAGTTCCCAGAGCTCCAAGGCACCTGCACAAGAAAAACCACCAAAACCAAACAAAAATCTAGTTAYTACTGTGTCTTTAGCTCTGTGCTTCATTCAGTCAATCTATAARCCTCACCTGAATCGGATGTGACAACAACCTTCTGGTCAGCCACCCATTTGACATCTGTGATTCCAGCCTCAGTCTGCACACCAGCTTTGCAGAATCCCTCGTTGGGGGCGTGCTCTGGTTCACTGTAGATCCACACAGAGCCCTGCCAGTTCCTGCCAGCGAGGCTGGAGGCACCGATCAGCAGGGTGCCATCTGTTAAGAGAGGACAGATTTAAAACCCATCAGACACATTTTCACCCAGATTTGATCAACCCAACCGTCCTCTATCTCCCAGACGGTCAGTTTTTCTGATATATTTTAGTAATGTGAAAGGACTTTTAGGTTACTGTTGACCTGTTTTTGTTTTCCTTATTGACTTTTAATTCTTGATCGAGGCAAAAGGCAAGTAATTTCATCCGACTGTATTTTAGTTAACCAAAATGACAGCACGAAAACAAAACTGCCCTCAAGAGATAAAATACCTCTGCATTAAAATAAAATAGTTTTTTTCTTCTAAGTTAGTTTATGACCCTAATGCCAGTCTTCTTCAACGAAAAATGACGTTCATTTGAGAAAACCGCGCACATTTTTAGTAAAATTAAAGAGCTTTAGTTTTTGAGCTTAAAATCGTGTGTCTGAAAGTTGCATACTGCAAATAAAGTTTATGATACGCACAAGAAAAAAAGTATTAAAGCAGTATGAGCCTGAGTGCATCTGAAATCAGTATCTCAACAGCAAAGATGGCTAAAATTACAAAAAGACGTGGTGGAGTTCCTAATGTTTTCATTGTCTAAGAACTGTTAGCATTCTGCTAATCCAGCTCCTTTCTTACCTGCTCGGTACTGAGCCGCGCACAGGTGCTTCTCCATACAAGCAGGAGCATTGGGGGGGATGTTCCACCTGTTTTCCTTAATCATACTGGTAAGTGCAGTTTTCATTCAAAAAAATAAAAATAAAATAGAAACCCTGAAATCGCCACTCTCAATTTTCTAAAACACTTTAGCTCGACTTCGACTTCAGCTAGCTTGGCAGCACGAGCGGTTGTGGTCTACATACGGGGGGACAGTACACGGGGCCGTGTTCTAAAATCACAAGGTCTGTTTTATTTTTAATTTTTATCTAAAATTGTGCTGCTTAAAGTTAGCGCTTCGCCAATAACATGAATGAAAAAGCGAACACATGGAAACCGGTCGACATAAACTTCCTGCTCCGGGTCACTTTTTGATTTTTGACGGTGGCCGCTAACCGAATGACGGGTGCAATACCGCCACCTACCGGAGCGGAGGGACAGTGGCTGGGCAGGATAACAAAACTTTCAAATTCTTCAGGGTTTTCATCCTTCATCTGTATTTATAAGTCATACAATTCTATTTATATTCTGCATTTTACTTTATTTATGTTATTGTTTATTGTTATTTTAGTTTGGTTTAGTTTAGTTTAAAGTTTATTCATTTAAAAACAACACAAATTCAACATTCATTTTCAGCATGAACATGAATTAGTAGTTAAATCTTTCTGAGTAGTGATTTAATTTACAGGCTTCTGCCCTCAGCTCAGCTTTTATGAAAAGGTATCTTCCTGTGTCACTGTTTCATCAATCTTCCCATTCCTGTTAATGGTCGTCTTGATTTCCTCTCAGTGGTTGACTAAAATATCTACTTCTTCATTATTTTCAATCCATACATGAACAAAAATCTTGAGGAAAAAAACAACCAAGTTTTTAATATAGAGTAACTGAAATATCTCCCATAAGATATCCTGTCTGCATAACTTTTTCAAGGGGGGAGCTGAAAAACTGGGAAATTAATTTTATTTTGTCTTTTTGACGGCTACTTCTTGTAGGATTTGTTTTGCAAAACACAAATTACTGTCCGTCTCAAAGTTTCCTCTGCAAAAGGAAAATAGCAACTTTCCCTTGAAGGAGACAAATGTAATTTTTWCTTGTATCATTTGCACCCAAGGAATGTTGTCCAAGAAGTCACAAGGTCATTCCACTTAAAACATTTTAGTACAAACAAAAACAAGGAGCTGTTTTTTTCCTCTAAAAGCAAACATTGTGTAAGGGCAAAAAAAATATAAAAAATTTTTTTGAGAATGACATTTGACTCTGTTGAAACTTTGTGACTTGTGTAAAGTTTTTCTTATAGGAATTAACAAGTTTGATTACCACACTTTTTCAGCTTTTAATAGATTATAAAAACAGTTTGAACAYGGGGAAACATTTTGGGTATCTGAATTGTTTTTCAAAAATGTTCTTCAAACATAGTGTCCTCATATTTACCATTAGGAAAAGTCAGGCATGCACTGGGCCAAAATATAAARGGCTCTTTTAAAATACCTAATAATCTCTAATAATCTGTCATCCTGGAATTTATTTTCTCGTCTATTCTTCAGGTGMTTTGCAGATTGATGCAAACCACCTGATTTGTGGTCTTAAACGATATAACAGCTGTAAAAAGCTAATATTTTGCTTAAACCTGTGCAGACGTTTTGTTTTGTTTTTCCTTTAGATTTGAGATACTTTTAAAATTAATTTTATAGCCAGATATTTTCTGTGCAGTCCTGACATTTCAAATTAATCTACTGTATTCTTTGATAATGGGAAAAAAAAACTGTTTTCTGACTAAATAAATAAAAATAAATAAATCAGTCAATACTTTGTCATTCACTGACATACCGACTCATGTCTATATGTGTAAGTGACTTGATATTATTAACATAATGCTGAATAAAATAAAACGTCTTCATAAATGAAGAATTTGGGGTTCATTTCAGACTTTTAACTAACCGGAAGTCTGTCTCGTTCATTTTTGTAAACAGACAGCTCGAAAACGTGCAATATTTTCGTTGCAGTCGCACCTTTTTTGTGTTTGTCTAAAACAAACAAAAAAATCACTTATTCGCGATTTAATAATTTAATTAGTATCACTCTTGTGTGAAAAGAGCGCTAAAAATTACAACGTGCGACTATTAAACGACGCAAACCTTTATTGTGAAAGCACACAAACGGAAGTAGGTGTTAAGTCAGCGATAACTTCACCGCCCTGTTTCTCTGTCTAAATTAAATCAATAGGTGATTGGTTTTTTTTTTCTTGGTGATCAGGGTTTTGAGGGGTTTAATATCGTGTCCACTGAAGGTAAGCATGTCAACTATGTCCAGTGCTCAAACTGAATATTTTCCACCAAATGTCGCTGAGCCCACCTAGCCTTTTTTTTTTTCTAGTCGATATATTTTAAGCGACGTCTTTGTTGTCCTAACTTGATATCATGAAAGGCCAGCTGTTGAGTAGCTAAAGGTTAGCTGTTTTGAGGTCTGTCCACGCTGAGTGACACCCTGTGGACAGCTGCTGGTCTGTGTGTGTGTGTGCTGATGTGGGAACACTGGACTGCAACCAGCTGCTACGTGACATTTGTAGGAGCTGCTAGGTCTCAGGCACCCCTGACATCCCTGGTCCAACCGCTCATAAATGTCATTTAAGGTGAAGACTGGTGGTGGSTCACTGAAACTACCTCAAACATGTCTGCTTCTAAAGCCTCGTARCATCTGAAAATGTAAAATGCATGAAGGCAACAAGTTCACATGAGGTGATGCGTGTTGTTTCTTGTCAGGGATGACAGACGTGGGGAGAGTCTCTTCCTCTTGGCTCAGCTTCTTCTTCACATACAGTAAAATAACTAAGATTTTCTACACGGCCGTGTTGACATGAAACGGCAGACACACAAATCACATCAATGGAAGTTCTGTTCTAGTTCAACTGGTTCRAATTACAATTTTCTTTTGACTCAACTGTTGACAGTAAAACTGAAAATGACCCTCTTAGATTACACATAAAGGTGTCCTTTCACATCCATGTTAAACCCACTGCATGAATGTTTATTTCCCAGGCAAGCCAGCTTTGTCTACATTACAACCTGCCTTCATTAACTTCACCTTTTTAAAACTCAAGAATCATAAACTGTATAAAATCAGGGTTCCTGCAGATCCTTAAAAAGTCTTAAAAGGCATTGAATTCATCAATCCAAAAATAAGGCCTTAATTAGCCTTAAAATGTCTTAAACCAGTCTTAAAAATGTTAACACGTTGTAAATTGTAATTCATCTCAAATTTTAAAATAATTGGTAAAAAATATTGTTTTTTAAATATTCACATGCAGACATTCCCATTTGACATCACTTCCTGTTATTTCACATGCAAATATCTCAACTGTCCATCTGAGCAATGTGAAATTTGTTTTGTAATGTGTTAATGTTGTCGTTCCAAAAATACATTCACTTTTCTTACAAAAAATCGATGTCACACTTTAAGGTTTCATCTACAGCAAATTGGGGTTAAGACCCCCACTGTGGGTCCTAAAACTCCAACTTTTGGGTCGTTAAAAGATTTCCTGAAATTAAATAAAGTTTAAAACTGACTGCTCAGAATGTTTCTGCTATAGATAGATTGATAAAAACAATTAGTCTTTTAGCAATATTTGAATACTTCAACCAAAAGCACTTTGATTCATGAGTTTCTGCCAGTTTTTCTTTTTTTTTTTTGTCATTTGTGTTTATGATGAAATTGGTCTTAAATTTAATTTCACTTGGCATTAAAAAGTCTTACATTGAACTTGTAGGAACCCTGAAAATGTGTGCATGTGTTTTATTGTGTTCATTTATTTCTTACACAACATCTATGCTTTGAATTGAGGCCAAGCGGAGCGGCGCAGTGGAGTGGTGGTAAGAGCCGTGCCCGCTCTTCAAGACTGTCTCAGGATCACCTGGGTGGAGTTTGCATGTTCTCCCTGTGCACGCATGGGTTTTCTCYCACAGATTAAAAACATGCACGTTAGGGTTAACTGGTAACACTAAATTGTCTCTACTTGTGAAGTGAGAGCGTAAATGTTTGTCTCTGTTATGGACTTGCTGCCTGTCCAGGGCGTACCCCGCCTCTTGCACAGGGACTGCTGGGGATTGACACCAACAACCTCTGTGGCCTGGAAAGGAAAAGCAGGTAAAGAAAATGGACTGACGGATCGATGGGGGGTGAGGTAGTTTGGTGGTCAGTGCCTTGGCCTCGTAGTACCGAGGCTGCGGGTTTGAGCCCCGGTTGTGTCATTTAAATAAATTAAAGTTTTATTTCCAGTAAAACAGTTTGAATTATAAAACCTCATTGTTTTTATCCTTTTAAGGATTGTTGCAATTGAATGATCAGGTGAATGTTTTTCACACTGAAAATATTCATTTTCCCATTTGTAGCGTCTGTTGTGTTTGAGAAGAACTATATAAAACCAGATTATTTGTCCACATTCATCAGGAGAAGACATCACAGCTGCATGTTAACCATCTGATGTTTTGCGTCAGGTTTGTCTTTGTATTTGTTTCTTGACTGGCATTTGTCTTCTCAGGGGTTCATCATGGCTTTGAAAAGAAGACGGGCGACGTCCCCCTCTAGCAGTGTGAGTGGAGGAGATTTTGACGATAGCCAGACTTCGTTAGTGTCTTCAATTGGGCGAAAGAGGAGAAGGACCTCAAACATTCCAACTGTGGATCCTGTAATTTTACAAATTTCAGTTACAGTTTTTTTTAAGGAACTTAATGTATTTTTGAACTCCTCTAATTGATGAAGTGATTGTTTCGAGGGAAGGCTGTGTATGTTTTTAAGTGTTTACACCTGGCCTCACAGATCGCTGTGTGCCATGAGCTCTACAACACAATCAGAGACTACAAGGACGACCAGGGCAGGATGCTGTGCGAGTTGTTCATCAGAGCCCCCAAACGAAGGTGAGGAAACAGCGTGTGGTCCTTTTTCACCCTGATATTCTTTCAAGTTGATTGAAAAAAACAAAACAAAACATAAACTCTTTTCTTACAGGAATCAACCAGACTATTACCACGTGGTCTCTCAGCCCATCGACATGATGAAGATCCAGCAGAAATTAAAGATGGAGGAATACGATGATGTTGAACAACTAACCAGTGACTTCCAGCTACTATTCAACAATGCAAAAACATACTATAAGGTAGCGCAGCACTCTAAATCCTAACAAAAGCTATAAAATACATTTGTTGTTGTGACATTCATTTGCATATCGCATACAGTCAGAGAGTCCTGAATACAGAGCGGCCTGTAAGCTGTGGGATCTTTACCTGCGAACCAAGAACGAGTTTGTTCAAAGAGGAGATTATGAAGATGATGATGAAGACGGAGACGATGTGCAGGAGAATCCTGGAGGATCCACAGAGGATGAGGTGATACTAGTTACAGTTAACTTCGTACTGTAGATGATATTCATCTTTAGGACAAATAATAATTTGCTATACTTGAATGCAGATTTTTTTTCTACTTTTATGAGAGAAAAAACTAGTCACCACGTCAAATATACTGTACAATGTGAATTTTAAGGGATGTCGAGCTCCGTAAGGTTCTTTATTTTTCGAGACTTTTAAGACAGTTTGCGAGTATAACTGTCTCTTTTTGTCCAATTGTGATCATTACCAGAGTGTGTCTGCCTGTTTGAAAGAGGTGCTGGAGCAGCTTCTTGATGCCGTCGTGTCGTACACCGAGCCGAGCGGTCGGCTGGTCAGCGAGCTCTTTCAGAAGCTTCCCTCTAAAATGGTATAAGTGCCTATAGCATGACTTAAAAAAAGTGAAGTAAAATGAAAGATTTAGCTTTTAATTTGCTGTTTTTTTAAATTTAGCAATATCCAGATTATTATGCCATAATCAAGGAGCCTATTGATCTAAAAATCATCGCTCAGAAAATCCAGGTAATCTCAGTGTTTTAGTCAGCTCAGTGTCACATTCTGTTTTTTTATTTATTTTTATTTTTTTGGTGATTAAACATCCAACAAATGACATTTATTGTAGTTGGGACACTACAGGAGCGTCAGCGCCATGGCTAAAGACATCGACCTGTTGGTAAAGAATGCCAAAACCTACAATGAGCCTGGATCACAGGTTTTTAAGGTAAATCTGTTAAACTCTTACCTGTGTTTGACCAGTTTTACTTCCTTGAATATAATGCGCTTGTGTGTTCCAGGATGCTAACACCATCAAGAAGATTTTTGCACAAAAGAAGTCTGAAATCGAACACGGAGAGCCCATCAAGTCAAGCATCCGCATCCGGTACTGAGGCCTCAACACTTGCAGTGTACAGTAGTTCAGTGAGCGTTTGTTTGACTTTTTCCTCTCTGTTAGGAATAAAAGATTTGCCCAGGGAGACCGCCTCTCAGCKATCACTATGGCTCTACAGTATGAGAGCGACGAGGAGGGGATACTCTCCGGTGCGTCTTTACCTCACCATCATACAGGTGTGATATTTCTGCTGTAACTGGGTGTCGTTCCGTTTTGTTCCTGCATCCGTCAGGGTCTGTGCACTACGATGAAGGAGAGTCCGAGGCGGAGTGTTTGACGTCCAACATCGACATGAGCAATCCCATCTTCCAGCTCTACGAGGCGGTGCGAGGGGCCAGGAACAGTCAGGGTCAGCTGATTTCTGAGCCTTTCCTGCAGCTGCCCTCCAGGAAAGATTACCCCGACTATTACCAACAGATCAGTCACCCGACCTGCCTGCACCACATCAAGTACGACACATCTAACACTGGTGTTGATATGCCCACCGGCACAAAATTCAGTGTTTGATATTGTTTTGTTCGTTCTGAATTGTGTTATAGTTGCAGTTATAAAAACGGGTAATGTAAAAGTTTCAACAAGAGGCTTTAAATTGTTTCACCGACCTTTTTTTTAAATTTTATTTTATTTTTCATGGGAAAATACGCCATCACTCTGTGCTGTGCAGCATTTCTGTGCCTCTTTTTCCCAAATGTGAGAGCCGATAAATTCCCCACAGGAACAAGATGAAGAACAACGAGTACGAGAGCGTGGAGCACGTCAACGCCGATTTGACTCTGCTGCTCGAGAACGCCAAGCGCTACAATGTTCCTCACTCCTCCATCTACAAGCGTGCACTCAAACTTCAGCACATTCAGCAGGTGCGCAGCGGGCTTTTCCTCGTATTTCATACAGAGTGTTGGTTTAGCTTAGACATTTACTGAGAAGCTTTTAAATAATCTCAATTTTCAGAGTTTTCCATTWAAAAAAAACAAAAAATCAAAAGTAAATTTTACTTTTCTTGCCTAGATGAAAAGGAAGGAGCTTCTGCAGAGAGTGGATGATGATGGTGATAGTATGCTCTCCTCTGCCACGTCTGACACCAGCAGCACAAAAAGAAAAAGGTGCATTTTGTCAGATACAGTCTTTACAAAACATCTGCAGACCCCTGGTAAAATGTCAGTTTTTTCACCTTTACTGTGACTTAACTGAAAATATAACTCATTTATGTGCAAAAATATAAAAAAAAAAAAAATAGTATTTGATCATATTCGTGCGCGCACACTTCGATTAAAGTGCAGGAAAAAGATTAAATCAACAAAAGAACACGGTGGTGGCAGCATCATGCTGTGGGTTTGCCTTTCTTCATCAGGAACTGGGCTTTTAGTCACAGTGGAGTCGTGAACAGTTCCCAGTATCTGTTTATTTTGTCTGAAGAGCTTCAGGTGTCTGCTAGAAAACTGAAAGGAATTTAATTTTTCAAAATAGCAATATTAGCAAATATACATTCAAATCAACACAAAAAGTTTTAGGAAATCTTAGTCAGGGTTTAGACTTAAATTTGATGGAAAGTCTGTGGGATGACCAAAAGAGGACAAGAGATGCCCTGAATCTGACAGAGGGGACAAATATTGCCAAGTCTTTGTGTGGCCCACTGAAAAATGAAGGGTATAATTAATTCAGAAGATTCTTCAACATCATATTAGTTGAAGGTACTAATGCAACCAGCTACTTCAACTTTTTTTTTTTACAACAGATCTTCTATTAGAATAATAAAGGATTCTGTATATAGAGATATACATTATGTCACATTATTATTTCTTCTGCATCACAAAAACTTGGTATTTTACTTGAGGTGTGTAAGATTTAACAACCATTGTTTCCTCAACCGTCTGAACTTGGTTGTTTTAGTTTCTGCAACAGTGCTTTCTTAGTGAAAGTTATTGGTTTGTTTCTTGTTCCCAGCTACAAGAAGAATACGAAGAAAAATCGAATGAAAGCTCTCTTCGCTGCGGTGACAGAAGCACGGGAAGCCGGCACCGGCCGCAGGCTGTGCGACCTCTTCACGGTGAAGCCATCGAAGAAGGACTACCCTGATTACTACAAAGTGATCCTGGAGCCGATGGACCTCCGGACCGTTGAGCATAACATCCGCTCAGACAAATACGTGACTGAAGATTTAATGGTAGAGGACATGAAGCTGATGTTCCGCAATGCACGACACTACAACGAAGAAGGCTCCCAGGTAGCGTTCCGTCTGATGAGAATCTGAGGCGATGCTGGCTCCTCGCTCCTGCATGTGTTTATGTTTTCTGTTCTTAACGATGAGCACAGTCATCAGTTTTGAGGAGAATAGTTGGCTAAAAATAGAAACCTCTACGTCAGCATAGTTATAAATAACTTAAAACAAAACCTACCTCTCTAAGAAGGTTTTGCGACTAACAGGAATCTCTTTTTGTTTCACATCTTTATCGTTTCTGCAGGTCTACAATGACGCAGATATCCTGGAGAAGATCATGGAAGACAAACGAAGAGATCTGGGGCCAGCAATGGACGATGATGACTTGATGTCCCCAAAGTTAAAAATAAGTATGTTTGTCAATCAGTCATCAAGTCTAGCTTCACCTGACATCACTTGCGTGTATTTTTTCAGGAAAAAACAGCATCTTTCTGAAGAAATCCAAGTACTTAACGCCCTTACAGCAGAAATTGAATGAGCTTTACGAAGCTGTGAAGAACTACACCGATAAGCGCGGCCGTCGCCTCAGCACCATCTTCCTCCGGCTCCCGTCTCGCGCCGAGCTGCCCGACTACTACCTCGCCATCAAGAAGCCCGTGGACATGGAGAAGATCAAGAGCCACATGCTGGCCAACAAGTACCAGGACGTGGACGCGCTGGTGGAGGACTTTGTGCTCATGTTCAACAACGCCTGCACCTACAACGAGCCCGAGTCTCTGATCTACCGCGACGCCCTGCTGCTGCACAGGGTGCTGTTGGAGACCAGACGTGACCTGGAGGGGGGAGAGGACGCCCACGTGCCCGACGTGCCCCGCCTCATCCAGGATCTCGTCCGCAGCCTGTTTGTGTCTGTGCTCGGTCACCAGGACGACGAGGGGCGATGCTACAGCGATTCTCTCGCGGAGATCCCCGCTGCCGATCCCGCCAACTCCGAGAAGCCGCTGCTCAACTTCGAAATCGTCAGGAAGAATGTGGATCGGGGGCGTTACAAGAGGCTGGATGTGTTTCAGGATCACATGTTTGAAGTTCTGGAAAAGGCCAGACGGTTGAATAGGTCAGATATTTTTCAACACTTCTTTTTTTTAAATCACCGTATTAAAGGGATCCACGATTAGTTGTAACATTAGACTTTATTCAATAAACATATATTTTAACTGTAAAATAAAGACCATAAAAATACTGTAGAATGTTCAGTTTTGATCATTTTTAAACTAAAAGTTTAAAAATATATTACACGGAGTGAGCCATTTTATTTACACACAAAGCATTCTGGGTAAATGATGATGTCGATAGGTCATTGGTGTGAGGCTGCTAACGAACTATATCCACCCTGAAGGTTAATCTTGGACAATATCTGACGATTGACTTTTTAAAATGAAACCAGAGAGCGTTGACAGAGAGGAGAAGGTAGAAATGACTCAGYCTGTAACTGAAAATATAGATGGAGGACAACAGAGCTGCTTCATGGAAGAAGAACCTCAGTTTAGCCTGTTAGCTTTAGCGTTAGCCCCGACGCTATCATCATATATATGTATTAGCTCAGCGCTACACATTCTCCTCTCGTCACTGAGGTCCTCCATCCACATGACAGAGAGGGGAATGCAAAAATGACTCAGCCTGCAACTGAAAATAAGGATGGAGGACCTCAGTTTAGCTTGTTTGTTGCGCTAGCGTCGAGCTAATACATATAAGGCAATATAGCGTCGGCGCTAGCGCAAAGGCTAACAGGCTAAGCTAAGGTTCTTCCATGAAGCAGCTCTGTTGTCCTCCATCCATATTTTCAGTTCCAGGCTGAGTCATTTCTACTTTCTCCTCTCTGTCAACGCTCTCTGGTTTCATTTAAAAGAGTCAATCATCAGATATTGTCCAAGATTAACCTTCAGGGTGGATATAGCTCACTCACACCGAGGTCCTATCAACGTCATCATTTACCCAGAATGCTTTGTGTGTAAATAAAATGGCTCCGTCGATGTTAAAATATATTTTTTAAAATTTACAAAACTAAACCGTCTACATTACGTTTACAGTCTTTATTTTACAGTTAAAATATATGTTTATCAAATAAAGTCTAATGTTACAACTAATCATGGATCCTTTAAAAGACAATAATCGTGACACCATCATTTGTTTTTTTTACAGGACTGACTCAGAGATCTTTGAAGATGCAGTGGAGCTGCAGCATTTCTTCATTCGTATCCGAGACGAGCTGTGTAAAAATGGAGAAATCTTAATGTCCCCTGCTCTCAGCTACACCTCTAAGCATCTGCACAGCGACGTGGAGAAGGAGAAGAAAAAAAAGCTTCCCAAGGAGTTTGAGGAGGACAAAATCAAGAGAGAGGAGGAGAAAAGGGGTACTCTCTGAAACATTTCTAATAATTCAAAGGAATTGCGTGTATGTTTCCGACATGTAGCCTTGTGTAAATGAAGATGTTTTCATTTCTCAGAAGCTGAGAAGAGGGAGGACTCTACTGGCAGCTCATGGCAGGTCCAGCGTACGTACAGCCAGGACTGCAGCTTCAAGGACAGCATGTACCACGTGGGAGACTACGTCTATGTGGAGCCTGCTGAGCCCAACCTGCAGCCACACATTATTTACATTGAACGTCTTTGGCAAGATGACACCGGTCAGTCTGTCTAGTTAACAGAACAAAGGGAAATTCAAAGGAAAAAGCAAAACATTAACCTTTTTGAAACAAAACTTGTCCTATCTCTCCTTCTAAACCTAGGAGAGAAGTGGCTGTATGGCTGCTGGTTCTACAGACCGAATGAAACCTTTCACCTGGCTACAAGAAAATTCTTGGAGAAAGAAGTTTTTAAAAGCGACTATTACAACAAAGCTCCCGTCAGCAAGATTCTGGGGAAATGTGTGGTTATGTTTGTGAAGGTCTGTCACCTTTTCTTGACATTTTCATTGACGTTTCATTTCTTGCACGTTTGATTTGATCTTTCTGGGATTATAGGAGTATTTCAAGCTCTACCCGGAGGGATTCAGGCCCGAGGACGTGTACGTGTGCGAGTCTCGCTACTCCGCCAAGTCCAAGTCCTTCAAGAAGATCAAGCTGTGGGCCATGCCTCTGAGCTCCGTTCGATTTGTTCCCAGAGAGGTGCCTCTTCCTGTAGTCCGAGTGGCGTCCATGTTTGCACCCAAACAAGAAGAGAAGCCGCCAGAGGTTATAGATGAGGGCAAGATGACTGATGGTGTTTTAGACAAGGTGAGTAACAACTGGTAGTTTTTTTCGTGAAAATAAACATTGGGCAAGAGGGGTAGACGATAATAGGAAATTTGGTATTGATTCAATACCAAGTAAATACAAAGCTAGTGTCATCAATTCTGATTCCGATACAGACACGTGTCAGGTTGATTGAATAATTATGGGATTTTGCTTTTAGTTAGTCAATTATGATTAAACACATGGCAAAAATATTAGGCAAATAAAACAATTTCTGTATTGGGGCAATATTATGTGTTTCTCAGGCATACATTTAAATACTATACCATAATAAAGTATCTTTGTCACCTTTAGTTGTTATTAAAATGCTGTTTTTAATGTTTAAATAGAAAATAAACTTATTTTCTCATCACTTCCTCTTCTAAACACCTTGAAATTGCCCTCTGTCTCTTTAAGAACCACCTTCCGCTTCTGTCTCTCCCATTTCAGCGCGCAGGGGGTGGGGT